GCAGCGAACTGATATCGTGCATAGTATGTGTGTCTATGATGTGATTATACCTGGAAATCGACTGTCATCCTAATTTGATAAATATAGTTATGTCGTATGTACACGAGTTAGATTGTTTCAGGGCAAAATAATTTCTCATGGACTTGAGATAATAAAAAAACGTTTGTTCTGCAGGATTCTAGTTGGATATTATCGGCAACGAAAAGAACTCCAAGTACACCAATCAAATTTCACAATATTCCTATCAACATAGCAGCGTAATATAATATTATTCAAAGATATATGTAATGAATTTGGTCAGCTCATGATAAACAATCGTTGAGATTATCGATGTAAGATAGATCGAACAATTGAACAATATAATCATCAATACGATAGGAACTGTGAACGTTTTCTTTCCTTAAGTATTACAAACCTCTAAATAACTGACTTATTTACCTACTTTTCTCTATAGTATTCGTTCTTTTCTTGTTTTTGTTTATAATATTCATATCGTTTTCGTTGATATTCATTTTCATATACTTTTTGTCTCGTATAATATTGTTGTTGTCGATAAGCATACTGATCTCGTTTATCAAAATCATATTTAAAATGAAACGATTGAGTTTTGTACATATGCCATTTTTTACGCTTTTCTCTCAAACGATAAACACGTGGATAATAAGTGAAAAATATACCTAAAGTAGATAAAAGCGACAATATTAATGAGATTTTCTTACTAAATTTTATTAGTTTTAAAATTTAGAAAGTATCGATAAAAAATAGAATAGTAAGGTGGAGACAAAACGTTTAGAAACAGAAATAGTTTCATTTTATGTTTGAAAGCACCATAACTGGACGAAAGAGAAAAACTGATTTGAATAACTATAAATATTTCCGATTAGAAGTGGTGCGTACGAAAATTTCATTAACATTGCTGAAAATCTGATGTTTAGAAAACTCTAAGCTGCAAAGTTCGAAGAGAAAGCTTCAGTCATGTAAAGTAAATATTAATAAACAAAAGTGGATGTCGCCGAGCTCTCTGCGACATTTTTTCATCAAACTGTATTCCATCTACGAAGGGACACTCTAGTCATTTTCACGGACATTTTTGTCCTTTTTCTGCTAATTTGTTTGCAGACGACCCTTTCGTAAATGGAATACAGTTTGATGAAAAAATGTCGCAGAGAGCTCGGTGACGTCTACTTTTATCCATAAATGTTTGCTCTACACGACTAACGCGGAAATCGCTTTAACTGCCAAATCGTTTTTTCAATGAGACCTAGTGGATTGAAGGTTATCTACTATGCTGATTCCAAATATGAGCATGGCAGTTGCTCATATGACTCCAGAGATCCGGTTTTTGGAAAATCAGTTTTTCAGAAACTTTAAAAAAGAACCAAAACCTTTCTTAAGAATTATAGCCCGCAAGTTTCTGATTGAAATGAGACATCTCCCAGCTGTACACGATCTTTCTTTGCAAAGTTATGGAGTTTGAAAGAAAAGCCCTAAATATTCATTGTCAGTTCGAAGCTAGAGGGGGTCGTATCACGAAAAAGCTTAAGTTCAAGTTTAAGACTGACTTAAGTCCGTGAACTTAAACCCTATCACGAAAAGACTTAAGTTGACGATTTGTTTACTTTTTAAAAGTCGTTGACAACAGTGACAAACTTCGGATAAAAACCCGCAAAATAACGAAATATTTATTCTCTAATTCTTAGAATGTCGTTTTCGTCGAATCGTATCGTTAAATGCCTGATCTATTCAAAAAATGCGTCAATGACTCAAGTCCGACTTAAGCTTTCGGCCTTAACTTTAAGACTACATTTCTCATGACATTTCCCATAAAGTCACCGTTTGACTTAAGTTTTTTTGTGATACGACCCCCCGAAATAAGAAGAAATTAATTTAAGGCTTTTCTTGTAAGATCTATAACTTTGCAAAGAAAGATCGTGTACAGCTGGGAAATATCTCATTCCAATCAGAAACTTGCAGGCTACAATTATGCCTCATCAAGAAAGGTTTTGGTTCTTTTTTAGAGTTTCTGAAAAATTGATTTTCCAAAAACCGGATCTCTGGAGACCTATGAGCAACTACCATGGTCATATTCGAAATCAGCATACTTGATAACCTATAATCCACTAGGTCTCATTGAAAAAACGATTTGACAGTTAAATCGGTTCGCTCGTGAGCTGTTTTCAAAAAATTTCTCTTCGAACTTTGAGACTTACGATTAGAGTTTTCTAAACATCAGGATTTCCAGCAATGCTGATGAAATTTTCGTACGCACCTCTTCTGATCGGAAATATTTAAAGTTATTCAAATCAGTGTTCCCTTTCGTCCAGCTATTGTGGTTTCAAACATAAAACGAAACTAGTTTTGTCTCTAAACTTTTTGCTTCCACTTTACATGTAACTTATTACTTTACTTGATATTCTTAATCGTTTATCAATGCTGTTAATTGTACACATACCTAGTACCGTTGATAACAATAGAATAATAGGAAATGTATATTGTAATGTTGACTTGTACATCATTGATAAATAAATATGAAAATTTGAATTAAAGAAAGAACCAATAATTGTCAGAAAAGTGAATGTAAAAGGATAGGTGGTGGCAAGAGTGACCAATGTGACTTTTGAAAATGAATATTGACGATTTCCTACAATAGTTTTATTAACACCATTAAGAAGACATTGATAATCTTGTGAACGATAAATATAATCGATAATATAAAATGGATAATAAAGAAGTTGTTGAAATTTATGAGAGATATGAAATTGAAATGAAAGTATTCGATAATCATTGTAGCCTGGATATTTGAGTTTTAAATGTTTTAAACATTTTGATTTTAGCGACTGAATTATATCTAAACAGTTAACGAGTAATATATAGACTTTTTTCTTAGGTTAGAGTCAGGATGCAAACTCAAAGGGTAGGATACAACTTTTTTTTAAAAATATTTTCACCCTCAATACTAAAGGGGGGTCCAAAAGTTTCGACCCTCTCTGTAAACTGACTACAATTTTTTGTTTTTTAACTCATAGTCATTTTTGTACGGCAGAAAGATCTGCCGTAAAATTTTCAACAACAAATATTTTGAACATTTCTTTATATACCGCAAAAATAAAAGTATATAGATGAAGTACTGCACTCTTAATCACTTTTCAACCAAAAAGTTGGTTTTTTCAGTTTCATTGCTTTATGTTTTACGAAACAAAGATAAGAAGATGGCTATTTTGTAGCCCTTAAACAGCTCTATTAAGTGGCTATATTTAAAACTCTTCATAGTCACAAGCAGTTGAGGGAGAACTCTTTTTCTTTTTTCGATGTCACTAAAAATGATAATTTTCAAACTGCAGGTTTACAGTACTTCAGAAATTCTTTATAAATCAGTCAAAATACAACATTTTTTTTAATGTTAAATCAAAATAGCTCTTCTGTTACTCTCTGGCACAGAAACTCTAACAGTTTTATTTCTTTTTTGCGCTAACGCGAAAATGTCAAATTTTTCGTTTTTTTCGGTGAATTTTGATGAAATCACCTTCTGTGCTAGAAAAACATTTTCAAAGTGAATATTTGATATACGAAAAAAAAGACAACACTTCGGAGCATAAGAACATACGTTTTGTTTACAATCCAATACAAACTTATGAACTTTGCAACTTTTATACAAGAATATATTTGTTTTCTTTAAAAATGTAAGATGAAAATGTTTTTTCAAAATTCATAAAATGACTATAATTTTGCACCACATACATGTACACAATTAAAAACTTCTTTTTTTAGATGATAGCTCTAATAATTTTATTTTGTATTTCGGTTAGAACATCAGAGTATATTTAGTAATTTTACAACCGCCTTCTTAGTTACTAGAGACTCAGACAGAATTCATTTCTGAAAGAATCAAAGAAGATACCACGACCGGTTTCGACCTTTCTCAAGGGTCTCATCAGGTGGTTTC